ATGGGCATTTTAACCATATTAACTTTTCCAATCCATGAGCTTGATAGATTCTTCCATTTACTTGTGTCGTCTTCAATTTCTTTCATCAATGTCTTATAGTTTTCAGAGTACAAGTTATTTCAGCTCCTTGGTTAAATTTATTCCTAGGTTTTAATTTTTTTTTGATGCAACCACAAATAAGATTGTTTTCTTAATTTCTTTTTCCAATAGTTTGTTATTAGTGTATATAAACACAATAGATTTCTGCATATTAATTTAGTATCTTGAAATTTTATTGGATTCACTTATTAGTTCTAATTGTTTTTTTTGGTGTAGTGTTTAGGGTGTTCTATAAATAGTATCATGTCATCTGTGGAGTGACAGTTTTAATTCTTTCTTTCCAACCTGAATGTCTTTAATTTTTTTTTTCTTGTCTGATTGTTGTGGCTAGTTCTTTTAATACTATGTCGAAGAAATTGGTGAGTGGGCATCTTGTCTTGTTCCTGACTTTAGAGGGAAAGCTTTCAGCTTTTCACCATTAAGTATGTTATATGTGAGTTGTCATATATTGTTTTTATTATGTTGAGGTATATTCCCTCTATACCTATTTTGTTGAAAGTTTTTTTAATCATAAATGGATGTTGAATTTTGTCAAATGCTTTTGCTGCATTTATTGAGATGATCATATGGTTTTATCCTTCATTTTGTTAGTGTGGTGTATCATGTTTTTGATTTGCAGACATTGAACCATCCTTGCATTGCTAGAATATATCCCACTTGATCATGGAGTATAATCCTTTCAATGTACTGCTAATATTTTGTTGAGAATCCTTGTATTTATATTCACCAGGAATATTGACTTGCAATTTTTCTTTTTTTTTTTTTGTATTTTTGTCTGGTTTTGGTATCAGGGTAAGTCTGGCCTTATGGAATAAGTTTGGAAGCATTATTTTTCACTTTTCACTTTGCTTTTTAGAATAATTTGAGAATAGGTGTTAATTATTCTTTAAAAGTTTAGTAGAATTCACCTGTGAAATAATCTGGTCCTGTACTTCTGTTTGTTGGGAGTTTTTTGATTACCAATTTAATTCTGTTACTGGTAACTGCTCCATTCAGATTTTTGGTTTACTTCTAATTCATTCTTGGAAAAATGTATGTTTCTCAAAATTAATCCACTTCTTAAAGGTTGTCTAATTTGCGGATGAATAATTGTTCATTTCATTCTCTATGATTCTTTGTATTTATGTGGTGTCAGTTTTAACTTCTCTTTCATTTGATTTCATTTATTTGGGCCTTCTCTCTATTTTCCTTCATTAGTCTGGTTAAAGATTTGTCAATTTTATCTTTTCAAAGAATCAGCTCTTAGTTTCATTGATCTTTTCTATTGGTTTTTTAAGTTTCTATTTTATTTATTTCTACTGTAATCTTTATTATTTCCTTCCTTCTACTAACTTTGGCCTGTTTATCCTTGTTTTTCTAGTTTCTTTAGGTGTAAGGTTAGATTGTTTACTTGAGATTTTTCTTGTTTGTTGAGGTAAGCCTGTATTGCTTATAGTTCAGACTAAGTCTAAATGATGAAGCAAGTTTTGAGTCAGGCTAAGACTAAATGATCATCTTCTTCAGGATGCTGTAGAAGGAATTCCAGGTTCAATTGTAAGGTCTTTTCCCCATATAAGATTATGCAACTCTGAATAAAATAAATCTGATGCAGAATACTTCAGTTTCTGCCACCTTTCTGATTTTACATGATAATTTGGTTTATCAAGTATTTATGAATAACACACTAACTTGACAGTGAGAGAATGAAAAGTATGGCCTGTTTGGAAGTTGGAGCTTCTTCATACTCTATTGGGGGTTCCTTAGACAACATTGTTGGTACTTTTTAAAAATATTATCAATACTGAGATTTTTTTACTTTTTAAAATTTATCTTTAGAGGGGAAGGGAAGGAGAGAGGGAGAGACATATCAGTGTATGGTTGCCTTTTGTGCGACCCCTACTGGGAACTGGCCTGCAACCCAGGCATGTACCCTGACTGGGAATCAAACCATGATCCCTTGGTTGGCAGGCCTGCGCTCAATCCACTGACCCACAGCAGCCAGGGCTATTAGTACTTTTACAAACTGAAATAGCAACCAGTTTTATTGTTTTGGATTCCTTTTACATGTATCCACTTGGTCTCTTTTACATCTTACCTGCCAATATGTTCTTCTGTTCTGTTTTACCCATTCATTATGTCAATTACATCTGATTACAGGGTACTTTTGTGGTGGATCGATTTACATTGCAGACTTGAGTGAAATCACCCACATCAGTTTAGCAATAACCTTTGCAGGCTGAAGTCTTAGGCCCTGTATCTACAATGCTTCAGACGTTAGGATGGCAAAAAAAATGGCCTATAATTGGTGCTTTGGATGGGAAATGTATTGCATAGAACAATTTGTTTCTTCCAATTCATTAGAAGCTATTTCAAAGATGATACCAAAATTTATTCCTTACCAAAAAAAAAAGGCACAGATAAAATGGAATACTCCCCTTCTGTTGGACATTGCACATATGTTGGGAGAACAGCTGGCTTGAGGGATATCCACAGGCAGCTATTGTCCTTGCACCTGGCTGGGGCTCACAGTTTGGGACGCTAACCCGTGCAGCTGCAGGGATTTGTGTCAGAGTTTTCTGAGCCATGGAAATGAGAAAATCATTTTAGTTATATATAATATACTAGCCTCCACTAAATACCTCAGATAGGAAGGAAGGATAAAACAGTGAGATACAATGATTTTTGAACAGTATCCAAACTATTTAGTCCTCTCTTCTATTACCTTAAAAATAATGATCATTGGTTGAAAAAGAATCAAACAGAAGAGATATTTGAATAAGAGAAAAATCTGGGGCTACACATTACTATTTGAATATGTATAAATGCTGTGTGCTTTGTTATTTGAAGGTACAACTAAGACATCCATTCCACATAAAATAAGCATCTGAAAAAGGGGTTATGGAAAAAGAAGAGCATGGAAATGCTTATTCTGAGAGGAAAGAAATTAGACTTGTAATTCAGACCTATTATATATCCCATGTAAATAACCTATAAAATTTCTTCTACTCATCTCCCTTTCCTTCCTATTCTCTTCTAGTTCTCTTTTCCTTCTGTCTTCTTTGCTTTCACAAAGACTTCCTAAACACTGTTTGTGAATAAGGTATTGTCAAATCTACAAGAACACAGCAGCCTTCATATAGCTTCTGCTATAACCACGTGTGTTAGAACGGACCCAGCAGGGCGAGCGGACTACAGAAAACAATAATGGGTGTTGAGGAGTGGGAGAGATTGCGTTCTGCCAGAAGTCAGGAGAGGGCATCGAGGGAAACAGCAGTAGAAACAGAGTAAAGGGAGGTCTGCTTTGGAGGCAGAATCCATAGTGTCTGAAAATTCAGTGAGTAAAGTGCGCAAAAATGAGCCGGAGTCAAAGATGCCGTCGGCCTTTCCATTTTTATGGGTTCCTTGCAGAGTTAGGGCGGTACAGCAGCCTCTGTTCTTGCTTCACTCCAGCTGGGAAGTAGGGTTGAACACTACTCCTAGTTCCCCCAAAGGAAGTCTTCTCCAGCGCTTCCACCAACCAGAGAGGTTGGTGTTTTACATGCGGTGTTATATTTGTATCTGTGAGTATGTGGAGACTGGGGTGAGCGAAAGAGTTGTGGGGCAAGATTTTCATGGGGTAAGGGGGTTCTCTCCTAAATCTTTCTCCCCCAAATCCTTTTCCCCCCTCACCCTCCATTGATGAGTCTCTTATTATTTCTTCCTTCCCTTTTGCAAAACCCCCAGCTTCCTCCCCTTTGTTTTTTCCACTTCCATGCATAGAAATGTAACTCACCCCAACTCCGTCTCACCCATCACTTAATACTACCTTCGGGTGTCTGCAGTTCTGGGATGACTTCATTTGTGCTCAGCAAACAAAAGATCCTTAGTCTAAGAGATCCACCCTCTTTACATGGTGGCAGATGGATCTTCAATCCTTGGTTTTTATTTCTGTCACACGCAGAAATGTTATCAACCTTACTGTATAAAGCACTGCTGGGTAGAATTTTTAAATATCCTTTTGTAATCTCAGCAACTCATCACATGTACTCAGAGATAAAGTCAATGCAAATGTTTCTGAATGCTCTCAGATGTGGCAAGCAAGCAGGATCCTGTCCGACTTCTCTTCTCTGCCACTCATTCTCATTTCGTGCATTCTCTCTGTGGAGATTTAACATTATCTTTCGTTATCTGGCGTTAGCCCTAATCGTAGTGCTAGGAAGTCCTCTCTGCTGTTCACTGGCGTGTCTGCGTGGTTCAGGGAGGCTGCTCTGTCCGTGAAGAAGTTAGTCCTGCTCTAAGCAGCTGGGAAATGCTACCTCCCTTTTACACCTGGGTGAGCACCGCAGGGAAACACTACTTTCAAAAAACCAACCCCAGAAGTATGTTACATTTTCCGTGCTTTTCCTTCCCTTCAAGATAAATTTTGTCGCCCCCCCTTTTATTAAGTGGATTAGAAATCTAAGACCTTTCTTAGACGTCTACCCGATGTGTGGATTATTTTAGGTTGAGAACTTTTTCTCCTTACTCTTTCTCTATTATTAGGCAGAAATATAACTTGACCGTATTTTTTTAAAATGTATTTTAATGCGAAACCAGAACTAATTCTCAAAGAACTCCTTTTGTCCTGTGCTCTTGGATTTCTGGGGGAAGACTACTGTAAACTTAATATAACTCTAAACCCTCACTGATTCTTTGGGCAACCACTCTTCTGCTAGGCAGACGCTATATCCTTATTTGTCATTTTATTTAATTTTAAGGGTGAGTGGCATAAGTAAATGACAAAAAAATGAGAATTGTTCAATTTGTTTTTTTAAATTATTTTATTGTTTTTCAAGTACAGGTGTCTTCATTGACCCCCCGCCACCCCAGCCTCCCACCTCCCTCCCTTGCTCCCACCCCTCTCCTTGGTTTTGTCCATGTGTCCTTTATAGTTGTCCCCGAAAACCCTTTCCCCCATTATCTTCTCCCTCCTCCCCTCTGGTTGCTGTCTGTTTGTTCTTAATTTCAGTGTCTCTGGTTGTATGTCGCTTGCTTGTTTGTTTTGTTGATTTGGTTCCAGTTAAAGGTGAGATCATATGGCATTTGTCCCTCAGTGTCTTAATTGTTTAGTGTGAATTTTTCTTTGGTAACAAATCTCTTTTAAAACAATGTCCCATCCACAATAAAAATTTGAGTTATACGAGTTAGGTGTTTGCAGCAAAACCTGCCTATTTCCTTTGAAAACTGGACGGAAGTCCTGGGCCCCATCCTTGGTGACGACGTCTGCTCCAACTCTGAATAATGAAGTTGCAGTTGTGTCCCCTTTTGTCCCATAGTGCTGGATGCATATTTCTATCACCGTACTTACCACACAGTAATGACATTTGCTGCTTAAGTGAACCCCTGTAAATTGCTTTCACTGAAATTTGACTTTGATGATAAGCCATCAGCCCATACTGAGATATGCTAGCAGAAATAGCTCCTTTGCTATAAGGATATTATTGAGGATGTTCTTCAGTATATCACATATTATTATACTTTCGGGATCCTTGTGGGTTTGTTTGGCTTTATATCCAGACTAGTTATATCCTGAACAATTGGTCTGCTTTTGTCAGCTTCTATCTGGTGGAACCTGTGGATTGTGCAACTGATTGTATTTTTCCTTGTACAGAGATTGCTAAAAGGCTGAGAGCCAAATGCCTGATGAATCCTTAGCAAGTACATGGTGTCCTTTATTGTATTTATTTTGTGCATTAGCTTACCTCTGATCCCATCATTGCTTTCCCTCTGCTTTAATCTTTCTCACTTACTTCCAATACACTTCATTTTCTTGTGTTGCACATCTCATTGTTCTTACTGGAAGTCCTTTCAAAGAGAGGCATGGGAATACAGACACATCCCCACTTCCCTCTCCCCAGGATATGAGCTTCTAGACAGTGGACGAGGTTGTTTCTTCTTCACTTTGTATTTGTATCTGACACAGACCTTCATTATACGCTCAGTAAATAGTTTTGAAAATTAACCAAATGAAATTTCCATTGTAAAATAGAAAATAAATATGGTAGCTTGAGCAATGTTGGTTTTCTTTTCTGTAATAAGACAAAGGGAAAATACTGTGAATCAAATAGTCACTACAGATAAGAAGGCAGAAAATAATTTTTTATGTGAGTAAAAGATGAATAGTTGGACTAAGTAAAAATTCCTTCTTTTTCACCTGTTGAAACTATGGCCGTGACATTTTTGTGGCTTATAAACCAAGGAAAATGAAAGGTGCTTGCTACCCATCAATCACAGAGCTCCGCAAAGAACTGATATAAATACATGTTGAGTTCAGTCCACCTCCCTGGAGACCAGCTTGGGAAACAGAGTAATCGAGAGTGCTTGGCAGAAAATGTTGAGCACTTTTGTTTTAAAATCTCAGACTGGAACCTAAAAACGTCTTGGTAAACCTTTGAACTCAGGATTGTTGACTAAATCCCGAGATGGTACAAAAGATATCTAGCTTACTGGGCAATGTGTTTTAATGACAAGGTGTCTAATTTTACCTAGAACTTTCAAGTCTTGATTAATAATAAATTAATTTTGTTCTTTAAAAGCAAATAAAGTAACATAGTAAATACTGGGTTCTTTCACCCTAACGGACTTAGAATAGAAGATGCTAACACCTTATTTGTAGGTATCAAAATTCATGGTATTCACATACATGGAATAAGATGTTGACGAGATAGTGTTTCCTTAAAACCAAGAGTTTTGTCTTTAGGTCCTATGATTTCTTCTTTCATAACGTCTGCCACATACATCCTTTTCCCTGTTAACCACTTAGTCCTAAACTCGTGATCTCCCTGCAGCAATGATACAGTAGATTTTCAGCTGCCTCCCTGTCACCACCATTTCTAGCAAATCGATCCCGAGTGTTACTGTCAGACTATTCTTCCAAAGATGCTGTTTTTATCATATCATTTAAAAAACATTTTAATAGCTTGCAATAACTTTTTATACCACAGAAATCAGCTCAGAAATGTTGGGCAAAACATTGCTTTTTCATCGGCTCCTCCCACCCTGGCTTCCCGCTGTGCACACCAAAGTGCATTCTGCTGCAACCTTAGTGTCCCGTGTGGGTGCCTGGTTCAGAGGGTCCCTGCAAAGTACCGTATTTGCATGCAACAGGAAGTAGGGTGTGGTTTGCTCCTGGAAGAGAGGAGTGTGGTGTGTTAAAAACAGTTTAAACTTGGCCTAGAACTAGTGTTGATTTTTGAAAAAAATCCTGTTTACAGTTAGAAGAAGGAAAATTAAATAGCAATAGTGAACATGAACTTTAAATGCTTCTAATAAATGATAATAGCTATTTATTGAGAGCTTACTATGTGCTAAGCACTACACAAAAAAAATACTTATCTTAATTCTGAACTAGATGCCATTATTGTCCTTATTTCATGAATATGTTGTCCGAGGTCACACAGCTCATAAGCCAAGGCTGAAACCCAAGAAGTTTGGCTTCATGCAGACACGTAACCACAAAACTGTAATAACCCTTCACAGAACCTGAATCTAGTGTTCCCCCTGAAACCTGAGAAATGGCGGCTCTAGGAAATAACAAAGAATGGTTTGGGCTTATGTGATGGAAGAAATTCCCTCTATTTGGAAGGAAAGCATTTTTTTTTTCAGAACTAAAGCATGCTCTAGTGTGAGTCCATACTCGGCATGGTAGACCGCACCCCCACCCTGGCCACTTTCACTTCCGCTTGGCTCCTTTGGCTGCTGTTCAGACGTTTGCTCTCACCAAGCAAAGTCACAGCTTAGTGAGAGCCATGTGTATCTCTGAGCAGACCATTCACCACAGTACTGCGATCTGGGAGTGCTGTGGAATTCCTTCAGAGTGGGGTCCGTGCTGTGATCCTCTGTGGGAGCCTCTCAACTATTCCCAATTTGACAGTTTTAATGGTGCAAAAAATGGCACAAGACAGAAAGACAGTAGAATCAGTATCTGGTCATTTAAAGGAGAAGCTTCCAGTAGCAATGTGACCACAGTACACAAGTAGGAAATGCTGATTAGGGGGCCAACTCAACACTAGGAATGCCCAGGCTTAGGGTTCAGGCATAAAAAGGCGTTGTACACAAATGCTGCCTCAGTTGCCTAAGGCAGTGCATCCAAGTCCTATTGACTCACAGAGCCAATTGTTCACATCTCTTTCCAGTCTTGAGTTCAGTGGCTTAGTTGGTAGCCTAAAATTGACTGTGGTTCAAGTATTTATACCATGGGCAGATGTAAACACTGTAAGGGCTCCCTCCCTCGCCCCTCCTCAGTGGTTTAACAAAAGCATACCACTGAAACTCCCCCAGCAGATGCTTACAACAGCAGCTACTTAGTATTTCTCACAATTCTGTGGATCGACTGGGCCCATCTTCTCAGTCTGCTCCGCATGGTGGAGCCCTGGTGACTCAAATGGCTGCATTCCACGAGGAAAGGATTCCTCAGCCTTGGCACTACATTTGGCGCTGGGTAGCACACTGTTGCAGACGCTGTCCTGTGCACTGTATGATCCTAGCAACATCCCTGGCCTCAACTTATTAGATGCTACTAGTAGCAACCAAAAATGTCCCCAGGGGGCAAAACTGCCACAGCTGAGAAACGCGGCTGAGTTAGGAACTCAACTGAGCATAGAACATCAAAGATGGCTTCTCATCTTCCAGATGTTTTGAATCCTTTGTTTAAAAATTTTTATTCACGACATTTGTTAAAGATAGTAAGGCAGACTTTATTTAGGAAACTATTACAGTGGGGTTTCTAATGGGGGAGAGGGATGGGGCTCAACTCAATACAACAAGAACAACTGGGAATTTATAGCCAGGGAGCAGGGTCGGGGTCAGTGGTAGAAAATTACTAAGAGGAAACATCAGGGATAGAGAGATTTGGGTTAAACTGGCTTGACAGGATCCTTGGCGAAGGCAGACCAGGGTGGTGAGACATCAAGTGTGATCTGATGTCAAGAGTGGGTATTTTTTATAAAATGACTTAGCAGAATTCTTGTTGCAATTGGACTAAGCAGTCCAAGGACAGAGTCCAAGGTGAGGGCCTCATCAAAAAGAGGACTCAGAGTTGTCGCACTTAGGTTTAATCAGCATCTTTTTCACCTTCTCCAAATGGCCTCTCATCATTCCATAGTCTGGTTCAAGGTCCTTCACAGTATGGTGACCGGCTTTAATGGAGTAAGAGCAAAAGCTAGGCTGAGAACTGGAGCAACGCCACTTGTGCTGTGTTTCTGATTGGTCAAAGCAGGTCACATTCAAGGAGAGGGGAAAACCACGGCACTTAAAGGGAGGAGTAGCAAGTCTTGGCCATCTTTAATCCATGCAGTACCGTATTTGCATGCAAGGACTCAGGATCAATTTTTTTTTGCAGAAGTAAAGAAAACCTTGAGAGTGAATTCTACTCAATATCAATGAAAATTAGCTCTAGAAATACACATAAGAGTTATTACTACTGGACTGAAGGTAAAACTGATTATTTATATGATGTAAAGAAAAAAAGCACATCATATGAAGAGGGTACAAGGCAATGTATTTCTATAGTATTTATTACGTCAAAGGTTCTGAACAAGAGTTGGAAGTTGCTTCTGGTTATCATATTGGTAAAGATGCCTTCACATTTTAAAAAATGCAGTCCTCACTAGGTTGTTGACACTATTTCAATTCAGCAGAACGATGATAGCATAATTGATGTTTCTGAAATTGGAAGCAGTGTTGTAAATGTTCAACTGTCCTACCTTATTTAAAATTAATACTTAGTGTATTTATATCATTATAACAGTTGAAGTGTAGAGTTTTAAAGGTATTTGCCAAGGCACTTTCTAAAGAACTGGTTGTTTACAAGGGGGGATCTGGTGTCTGTCTTTTCACCTGACTTCTTACCTTGGCATCAACTCACTTGGATGTTGGTACTAGAACTAGGTTTTGTCTGGGGGTGGTTTTTTTTTTTGCACTAAGGCACTATTCCCCCACAGAGTATTTAGCAAAACTCTAGTTTCACAGATGTTAATTGGTTTACATGTAAGGAGTTTCACAGATAGTGTAAACTTGGGAATTCTAAGTTGAGAGTAAGCAGGTTTCCTTACTGCTGGACTTTTTAGGATCTTTATTATACTAATGTACATTATGACTCATAAAAAAGTGTTTTCTAGATTTATTTAGCCACAGAAATAGAGGCATCTCTTATATAACAAGGGTTCCTCAGGATACTCTCTGTAGAAGTTGTTCTAAGTGGAAATAAAGAAGGAGGAGGAATCTTGGGAGAGAATTCTATTCAAGCTCCATCAAAACTAACTCCAGAAACAGGCACAGCAATACCCTTAGCACTTAAAAAACTGTCCCTGAAGCAGGTCCTTGGGTCCAGTAATGTTCTACACTCTTGTGTTTAGGTGTCAATAGTGTTTTGAACACAGAGGACCGAAACAATTTTAAATAATTATTTTGCAAAAGTTAGGTTATATTAATAAAATTGAATCAGCCAACACCACCAAAAAATTGATTCATTAAAACAGTAACTTAGAAAGGAAGAACCAGAAGTTTATACCTTTTCTAACTCTTCTTGTCTTATTGACAAGTAAAAATTGTATGTATTTATGGTGTACCAAGGCAAATGTTTTGATATACATATACACTGTGAAATGATTACTATAATCCACTCTTCTTGTCTTATAAACTAAACTTGGAGTGTTTAGAAATTAAAATTTGGATTGCGAGAAATATATTAACGTATTGGTGGTAGGCAGCTTCTAAAATGGTTTTCAATGTCCCTGTCCCCTCGTATTCAGGCCCTTGCATAAAACTTTCCCCTTAAGCGTGGGCTCAACCTGGTGACTTTGCTCACCCCTGGTGACCAGCAACAGGGGTGGATGTTACTTCTGAGATTAGTTTACAAAAAAGACTGGCTTCTGCCTTCCTTACCCTCTCCTCTCTCACTGGCTCACTTGCATGAAGCCAGTGACCCTACACAGAGGCACACCCGAGGGAGGCCTCCGGCCAGCAGCCCATGGGAACTGAATCCTACCAAAAGTGAGTGTGAAAAGGGGTCCTCCCCCAGTCAAGCTTTGACAGGACGGGACTGCAGCCTTGTGATAGATCCTGAGCCCGAGGACCCAGCCAAGCCATGCTGTTCCCGACACAGAAGCCGTGAGATAATACACATTTGTTGTTCTGAGCCACTAAATTGTGGGGTAATTTGTTAGGCAGCAGTGGATAACTAGCATGGTATTAAAAGGGGTATTTAGGGAGAGCTAAGGCCGTATTATCTAAATCACACCTTGCAGACAGCCAAAGGAGAGACTAAAGCATGGTGGTTAGATCGAGCTTTAGAATGGCAGCATCGAAAAATACTGATTTAATTGGGAAGAAACACAGAGAATTGTGAGGATGAAATCTGGGTGGTAACAATCTTTGCATTTTCAGTGCCGCCCCCAGAGGAGATATCAGAAATACAAGATGTGCAACTTGATAATTGCATGGCTACTGCAATTCCTGAAGAAAATATTGCTATTGTATGTCTCCTTGTTGTAAAGAACTAGTTTCTAATAGAGCTACCCCCTTTGGTTTAAATATTATGCTAGCTGCTGGGGAAGGATGTTATGTCTACCAAGAACACAGTAATGTGGTTTTAGAAGGCTTTTTTCCCCCTTGAGGTCTGGTTTAGATTATTCCTTTGAGGTGTTTTTCTGTATGTTCTTTTATTCCACAAATATGTACTGAATAGTACTATGTGCCGGGTGCTATTTTAGGCACTGATGATTCAACAGAGAAATCCTCACCCTCTTGAAACCCACATTCTAGTGAGGAAAGACAAACACTAAACAAAGTGAATAAACATAAAGTATATCATACAGTAATAAAAATAAAAAATGTAGTATAGTAATTACGTATTATGGAAGAAAAGAAAGCAGGAAGGGAGAGAGGGAGGGTGACTTGCAGCTCCTTTACCAGTTATCAAGGTCTGGACTGTGTGTCCATCACAGCTCTGGGCCCATCAGGATCCGAGTGTTTTCCAACTCTATCCCGCAAACGTCAGAGTTTTTGCATCTTCCTCTCTCTCCTCTGCATGCTCCATACTCGTTCTTGCTTTCATGCCTTTAAGAAAGACTGATCTTCAAGGCTTTCCTCTGAAGCCTTCTCCAAAAATTGTAGTCTTCACTGACCCTGCAGTCTTCTGGGGCCTGAGTGGACCATTCCAAGTCCAAAACAAAACAAAATACAATGTATTCATCCTTTTCATTTCCTTAAAGTTTTCAGGTTAACAGTATATTACCTTTTATTTGTGTCATATGTGTTGTGTTGTTGCTACTTCCTCTGCCATTAGAATTTCAGGTCTTTGAGTTTGGCTTGTTTTTGCACATGTGTGGAACTGGCAAGCAAAGTACTCATGATGGTAGGTTCGTTGGAAAAAATATAAAAGGTGGAAGATATGATGCTTATCTTTGGAGAATTTAAAATATACTTGGAGAGAGGAAATGCTCTTCCTGGGGTGAGAAGACTGTGGGAAGATGGCCTATATAATCAAATACTATACACTATGGTATAGTAAGTGGCTTTCAGATTTCTTTTTTGCTTGCACCACAATAAGAAATGGACTTCACATCATGACTAAGCATGTGCATGTGTGTATGTATATATGATGTACCTTTATGCACATCTGCATGTAAGCTAAATTTGACAAAATAATGTTCACAAAACAACACTTAATTTTTATATGCAATGCATTTTGATATTTTTATTCTGTCCTAGTTTTAAAAAAGTGTTGATAGAAATTCTCTGAATTGATTTTACAACTGCCAAGAGAACATAACCAACAGTTTAGAAAACGGTGTAGCCGAGTGGTGAGCATGTGAAGGTGTGAAGTAAAGAGAGAGCATGGAGTGGATTGAATGCAGAGAAGTTGGTCTTGGAAAAGACTATACTTGATCTGTCTGCTGAAAGGAACGTCCTGTGCAGATTCCGGGGGGGGGGGGGGTCCAGAGCAGTGCTGATACTGAGTGGACAACAGTATGAGCAGAGGTGGCACCGAGATCAGAGTAAGCAGCAAATTCAGGGGTCACTGAATTCAGAGAACAGAATCCTGATATTTTGTAGATGATGAAAATAATGTAAAAGGCAAACTAAAGGCCTGAAAAAAGACTCTGAGGGTGCATATTTGGGAAATATATTAATAATTAGAAATAATTGAATGGCAGAGCAGATCTGTGGCATTGAATAATCCACTATTTGTATTAATATTCCACTTTTGTCCAAGTTATTTATAATCGCAATTCTCATTATTTTCAAAGTAAACCTGTGGGCGTAGGAGGGCCTATTTCCAGAAGAAGAAACTGGTACATAGAGATGACATACATTGTTCAAGGTATATTTACTTGGAGTGAATTTCAGAGATCAGGCTAACTCTAGTCCAAATGATTTAGTTGTCCTCCAAGAATTCAGAATACAGGCACAGATATCAAGCAAAACAATCACCACTTGTTCCTACCTGTCCCTGAAGATGAACTTGTCCTTTTTCTCAAGGGTGTAGATTAATTGCCTTTGATGACCTTTGTTTGTTGCTGTGTATAGCAACATTGTTTGTTGCTGTGTTTGTTTAATTGTGTATAGACCTGGGTGATGGAGTGGGTGATGAAGTTTGGAGGAAGGAAACCATGGGTAGAGGTACAATTTTTTTGAAGTTCATTCTGAGCATGAGTTGATCAGGGAAACACACAGAAAAGAAGCTAAGTGTGGATATACAGAGTATAGCGGCTTCCTCGAGTTCCTACAGCTCATCATATTTTCCTTCTGGAAGCATCTGCGGGAGGTGCTTTCTGTCACTGTTTTCCATCTTTTCTCTTTAGGTAGGTTCTCTCTCTCTACCAATCAATCCTCTCCTTCAGAAATGGTGGGAGAATAGGGAAGAGAAAAGGGTTAAAGCAGATTCCTATGATATTGCACATTATTTTACAGAAGTAGGAAATGGACTCCCTGAACCCCACCTAAATTTTGTTTTTAACATCTTGACTTTAGTACACTTTTTTGTAACAATAAATCAGAACACTTGACTAAGGCTAAAAATAGATTAGCAAGGTCGAGCATGGAAGAAGTGGCCCAGCTTCTCCTCCTTTTCATTTTGTTTAGGTTTGAATGAGAAGGGGGTGGCTTACACAATGAACAAGAACAGCAACTGGCTGTCTCTCTGTAAGCTTTGAGCCAATTATGATATTTTTGTGGGAAAGTGTCCAATTCTTAAGTCTCAGTTATGTAGAGGTGGGAGGCAGCTGGTGTGAATGTCTGTCTGCAGGGTACATGCAGAGTTACTCTGATCCAATATAGCATGGCAGCAATGTGCTTATTCAAGAAGATAATTATCTCAATTTTCTTAACCTAAGTTTCTTCACCCTCACCACTTAAAAACAGACACAGATAAAACAAAAGAGGGAGAAAGGCCAAAGCCAAAGTCACCATAAGATTTTGAGATCTCTCAGCTACCTCTAGTGAGGAATATCAGTAATGAAATTAAGCTAAGTCTGAATGGACCCCTTTAACTCATTATCTTTGTTCACAGCTCCTACTGTCCTCCTCCGGAAGTTTGTGCTCAATTAACAATCATCATCATTTCCTTCACTTTTCAGAATTTCTTGACTTAACTCTCTCATTTATCTCTCATAATCAAGTGGCCACCAAATCCTGCTGCATCTACCCTCGAATGCATTGTCCATGCATTTATCTTCTTGTCATGTATTTATTAAATACCACTGTGTACTGTGCACTGGACCATGCACGGTACCAAGGATACCATGGTGACTAAGACAGACATTTTCTGCCATAACAGAGCTTATAATCTAGTGGGAGCCCACGTAAGAGACAAGTAAACAGGCAATTTCCTTACTGTGTATGCAAACTGGTGGGGAAGGTACAGGGAGCACGTGGGGACAAATCCAGCTTTGGGTTGCCAGAGAAGACTTTCTAGAGAATTGATGATTTTGCTGAGACTTTAAGGTTCGGAGAAGTGTAGCCAGGAGAAGACTGCTTTTAGCATCCTCCATTCAACAAAATTTTTTCAAACATGTACTGGGGACCAGGCTTTACTTTAGATTCTGCAATTAAAAAGATGGACACAATCCTAGGTCTCCTAGGTCCTTGGTGCCAAAAAGGTTGGGGACTGTTGGCTTAGAGAGCATTGGGTGGAGGAAAAATAGACATAAAAATGTAGGCACAAAATAGCCAACCAGCAATTGCTCCCCAGAATCCAGTTCTCCTCCCCTGCAGCTCCAGGCCGTGCTATGGACCCTGCAGTGAACGCCTCAAGTTTCCTACTAGAACCCCTGCTTAGGTGAGCACGGATACTCTTCCCTGTACTTCCCTGCTTGTCCCTGTGTGCTTCCCAACACAGCCACACAGCCTTTACTGAAGAACTGAGTTAATTAAAGAAGATCACCTATAGGAGGGAAAACTGTAAACTGTCAGCTAACATAGTTCTTCCTTCACAGTTCATGGGCAAAGGTGTTAATTTATACATTCAGCAAATATATGCTAGCTGTTCCCTGAGGTGCCCAAGTCAGAAAAAAAATCCCACGGAGCTTTCATTTGAGTGAGGAGATAGAAAATAATTAAACATATATATTGACAAAATAATTAGAGGTGGATGAGGGAAATACTTCTGATAGCTATTCTGGGAAGGCGTCTCAGTTCTATCATCCTGCAGGAAGTGATGTGTTGGAACCTGGGGGATGGAAGGAGTTGATATGCAAAAAGGTTGGAAAAAGTTGCAGAAAAGGACCTTTTGCAGTTCTTCCCAGCAATCTCCTCTCATCACCTGTCAGCTTCTACCCTCCCGCTGAGAACAACGTGGCCATTGTTCTTCCGCAGGGATGGTTGGACTCCCCCCCAGGAAGGGCCTGCTTACGGGCCACCGGCAACATTTCCTTACATCCCTGGACAGTGGGTCTGGTTCGAATGAACTTTCACCACTAGGTTGTGATGGCTTCCTGTGGGGATCCTGAAGTTCATTCCCATCGTCTAGGAACTCAACCCTGTTCTGAAATTTCTGAATCTCAGGCTGTTCCTGAATGGCAACTCTTTTTAATGGATTATTAATCCGAAACTCAAAATCGTGTGTTTCCATTCCTGTTCTACTCGCCGCCTATTTTTCTGGACCACAGTGTGCTAAGCCTCAGTTACAAGAAGGTCTGGAGGCCACTGAATAACTTCAGATGCCATCGGATTGGCGTTTCGGGCCATTTCAGGAAGGGCGGTTCCCACACGCCCGGGGGCTCCTGAGGCCCACGGTGAGGGCTCCAGCATGACGTCATTCGAAGGTGGTCGCCTCAGCGCGGAGCATGACGTCACGCGGGCGGGACGGTCCGCCGTGAGGTCACCTGGTGGGCGCGGCCAGGCCGAATCCCCAGTGTCGTCACGGGCGGGGGCAGGGCCAGAGCGTGTCAGCGAAGCCGAATCAAAACAAGCCGGAGACCCGCCTTTTCCCTCCAGCTCCAGAGCCTGTCGCTCGCGCCCCGAGCCCGCGGCGCCCGCGCGGCTGCAGACCTCGGGTGTCCGCGCGCCGGCTCCAGGAAGCCGGGTGGGGCGCGGCGGTGGCGATGGCGCGGCGCGGGCCGCGCGGCTAGACGGGCGGCGCAGGAGCCGCCGGCCCGCGCCCTCCATTCTTTCCGCCCCGGAGCCGGCTGTGCGCGGGGTCCCGAGCGGCCGCACCGCGGGGAGCTGCCTTCGCTGACGCCGGGCACCTGAACGCTCCCGAGATGCCCAATCCCAAAAACAGTAAAGGCGGCCGCAAAAACAAGCGCGCCAACAGCAGCGGGGACGAGCAGGAAAATGGAGCCGGGGCCCTGGCAGCAGCGGGCGCGGCGGGCGCGGCGGCCGGGGGGGCCCTGGCGGCAGCGGCGGGCTGCGGAGCGGCTGCGGCGGGCGCGCCGGGCACCGGGGGCGCGGCGGGCTCCGGAGGCGCGGGGACTGGCGCAGCCAACGTCGCAGCCACCGCGGGGGCTGCAGCCTTGGGCGACGCCAAGAACGGTAAGACGGGGCGAGTGCCAACTTCCTTCACGACGGGGACGGCGCGGTGGCGGGGCCCTGGGTGGCGCGGGCGATGCGTGGACAATGCGAGAGTCGGGAAGTGCTCACCCCGCCCCTCTGCCCCACCGCGGCTGCCCCTTCCCAGTCCCCACGCCAGACGACGACAATTTATCTGCGGCCCCTACCAGGTGTCCGTGCCACGCAGCGGTCGCTCGTCCTGGGCAGCCTGCTCTCTAGACTACCAGGGGCGCTCGGGTCCGCGGCAGTGCTACCCTCGGGCCTTGCCCGTGGTGCCCCCGCTGGTGAAGCCGAGTGTGTGCGCCGAGCCTGGGGGGAGGAAGGGAGGAAGGAAGGAAGGAAGAAAAGAAGAAAAGAGCTGCCCAAGTTGAGAAGAATGATCCGATTGAAAACTTAGGCACCAGTTCATTCTTCCCTATGGTCCCCTGTCCCAACCCGCCCCCACCCCCAAGTGAAAAGTCTAAAATCCCGGCAATTACGGGCTGTCTGTGTCTATTGCCACAGGTGAAGAGGCCCCAGAAACATTTTTTTTTTTTTACTGTAGGGCGTGTGTGTGTATGTGTGTGGGTGGGGTGGGGGTGCTTTTTAATTCTGTTGCTCGCTTGAGGAAGGAAGAGAATCTGAACTTGACTTCCGTTCTCAGCCCGGAGTTAAAAAAAAAATCATCGTTTATTTAATTCTGCTTCACCTTTTTGGAAGGAAGCCTAAATAATCTTAGGTAGTGCCTGAATGCACCTTTTGGGGAGCACTTAAGGAATAGTGAAGATGTTACAGTCTTGCTGATGTCACTACAAAGTCGAGGTTTTTGTTGGAGGGTGCAAGCACTTTACTTACTTGGACAGTTCCTTTGAATTCCTTTGGTCAGCCAGTTTTTCAAGGAAGGGAATATGGGTAGCTTATAATGGAAGGAGATTAAGATCTTTATTTCTGGCTTTTAGCTGGTAGCTTTCAGCTTTTGAATCCATTCATTTCGTAGATGGTCACCTTTTTAAACAGGGCACCTGCAGTTAGAAGAACTCCATAATGAAGTGTCGCCTGTTAGAAACAGAACAGCAGGCCCCATTGGTTCTGTCTCTGCAATATGGAAATAGGAAGATTTCCAAATTTATCGCATATGTGGATGTTTGATACTGCAACATTTGGCCAGACTGTCTTCTCATGTTCTTTTGTTTTCCTAGCTCTAAACTTCATTTTGGTTTTGATGTGACAGAGGGGAAGGAAGACAGACTCCTGGCTCAACCATTTAGAACTTTGTCATCTTGGAAAGGTCAGTCTTTCTGAGCCTCAGTTTCCTCGCCTGTAAACTTGGGGGGAAAAAAACAAAACACTGCTTATGTTGCCACCCTTACAGGTTTACTGTGAGGCTCAGAGTGTGCTTTCCTTAACCAGTCTCTTATTTTTGTTGTCTTAAGGGCTTGTTACATTTTTAAGATCTTTAGCAAAGTTCCTCAAGAAAAGTGATGGACAATGGTAGCAATCATTCATTTATTCATTCAAAAAATATTAAGCTCAGTGTTACAAGTACCATGTTAAGTATTCAAGGGTAAGAGGGTAATCAAGAGAGAGAGCGTGCTGGTTCTGGTGGAGTTTGCAGTCTTGTTCTCAGTGGTTGTGGTTTACTCCTGCTCTTTTCATCTGTGTGGAAGCTTCGCTCTGGCTGTTTCTTCTTCTTTGTCCAAAAGATGACAGACCACTTTAAGGTGGTGTGAGGAAATTTTTCTCTTAAACTAGTGGTATCTCCTCATTTGAAAACATTCATCTGGTTATGATGTTCCCATTATTACTCTCCTCGGGTATGCTTAGCAGTTCTGTATATATCTGTTTGAAATTATTTTTGATTTGGAGCTTGTTTATTGAGTAGGAGAAAAAGAGAAGAAATAGGCCTAACAGGAGTGGGCATAGCAGAAATGGGCGTAATCGACATTAGAGGAACAACAAACTTACATTGGAGTCGTGAGCTGAAGTTTATGATACTAAATTCTTGGTGCCGTCATGGTGTGACGTCTCAGTGAATGATCCACCTGAATTTGAGGAACTCTTACTGCAGTCGATGGTAACTGAACTTAGATGCAGAGGCCTCCTGTGCAAAAAATGGTAAATAAGGAAATTGCAAACGCTTTTTGTTTTATCATTTAAAACTGTCCATTATAATGTAGAGATGGGAGAAATGGCATTGGTGGCTCTTTAAAGGAAGGGACAACAGATATTACCAACTCTCAATATCGTTCCATACGGTCTAATTATTTTGAATTTTAAAATGACATTAATGGGGCTGTTACAGAATTTCTAAGTATATTTTAACTTTTTACTTAACTGTGATGTTAGATTTTGTGATTATGAATATTACAAATCAAACAATTCTTTCAAGGATGTAGTAAAACTACATTCTATGAAACTTTAGATTTGTTCTCACCGTTCAAGTCATATGTGATCTGCACCGCAAGTATACAAACTTAATGACTTTGCTTAAAGTTAACAGTACTTATTTGTATGAGTAGTTATTTGGAGTTTATAGAATGGTTTTATGTCTTGTAAGTTCTTGGGCAGTGTGGCCACCAGCATGGGGTAGTATTAGTTCTTAGTTGTTCACTGTTTGTCAGTAGGCATAAAAAACTACTTACTCTATAAAAGCAGATTACTAGCTGGGGAAGCTTGGGGAAGCTTGGCCTGGTTGTAGTCCAAGAAGTTGAACTGGTTGCTGTTGTGCATCTTGGGTAAGTTGAATGTTAATGGTAAATACTTTGAAGCCCAATAAGACATTCATTAGTACATTTTCAGATACTGTTTATATAGGTTTATGAAGTTTTTTTTTGCAGGGATTGGAGTAAAAGATGTATAAGCACTATACTCTTTTTCCATAGTAAACATCTGTCTGCACATACTGTAGTATTTTGGTTGTAGGTGGACAAGATTTGCCAATCATTATTTTTAGGATCCAGTAATCATGCAGTTGATTATAACTATGTAGTTTTATTCTGGAATTATGATTCCATTAGCTATCTTTCTCTAGATATATTTTTTTTTCTTTTCTTTTTTTTGTTTGTTTTTCTTTTGCTCCAGGCCTAAAAATATATGAACCCTTGATCATAGTATCCAGTTTTCACTGGGCCTGGACCCAAGTCCTTCTATAAATTCCTGTTTCCTGGATGACCGTGGTTCACCACTCCACTCATTCCTCACTGCCACCGTAACCCCTGGGCTGCTGTGTCCACCCTGACTCATTCAATAGATCTTTCTAGGAGGTGGAGTGAGTTTACATAGAGATTCACATCCTGGCTCCTCCAATTACTTAGCATATGATCTAGGGTAAGTCATTTGACTTATCTAAGCCTCAGTTTCTGTATATGTAAACTGAGATTATAGTACCCATACATATATAGTAAGATACCTATTTACCTATGATGTATATAATGTATATTGATATTATATACACATTTGTATGTATAAGTGTGTATATATATGTGTGTATATATATGTGTATATATGTGTGTGTATATATATATATATATATATATACAGTTATAAAATGAGTTTACTGTGTTCACTGTTTGTTTTATATCCTGGCAGTAATCTCAGAGATGGAGATGTACATGCAGGAGTTTACTGGGGCTGCTCCTGGCCTCCTCGCTAGTGGCAGAGGAGGGAAGGAGACTCCCGCAGCGGGAGGGCTTGTACGTTGATGCAGTTGTCAGGGGGCTCTGGAGCTGGGGCGGCCTTGCAGGTATTTAACTGGAGGTAGGGGGCAGCGCCTGGAAACCTTCCCTCCCCTACTGACTGGGTATTTGAACCTGGGCTGCTGCTGGGAAGAGGGAGTGACCTGGAGAGATTCTTAGCTGGAGAGCCTGTATGGAGAGTACGGAGAGGGGCTCACGCAAGAGCCTTTGGTTCTGAGCGGAGGAGAGCTGCTCTTCGTCCCGTAGCATTATGGGTGTCTTCAGTTAGACCACTAGTGCCATTCACCTAAAACACAGGTGTGGGCTAGTTCTCCCTAAAGACTAAATAGGCTTCATGGACCAGGCTGGGAGTTAACCACCCTCAAATATTGTTTTGATAGAAATATGTGTTCAGAATCCATCCATTTACAGATAGATTTTTGGAGCAACTATAAGCAAGATTTGTATTTTTTGGTATACTTAGGCTACCAAACACTTTTTATAACTCCAGGTTTATAGTATATTTTAAATAGTTTCTCCTTTTAGGGTTTCCTTGAATTCTTACTACATTTAAATTACCTTTATCAATTGGAAGGAAAAGGAAGAATGTTTGCCTGCTGTTTATTTTGAAGCAGGTAATATTTATTGAGGGTCTGAGTGTGTAGAGCACCACTGTGGTCTTGGAAGACATTTTTTTGCCTTATCTAGAAATTACTTTTGTCAGGTCTTTAAAAATATTTGCTACTTTTGGATCTTGTCTTTTGAAATCCTCCTCTGTAAGAGGCACTGGTAGAAAATGTTGCCTCGTCCGTTGCAGACTCATCTCTTACACTGTGCGTGTCTAGGGAGGTCTGTTCTGTGCTCCGGTGACGGTGTTTTATACACAGCCCTTACTTCTTCTCTCTTGACTTGTTGCAGGACCTGAGCTTAAATTCTAGAAACAAAACCTTCAATGTTAGCTTTTCTTCAAGTCCAAGAATATATATTTTCTATAAAAATTGAAAACAGGAGATAAAACTGGGAACTCTTTGCAGCTTAATCCTCCTATGAACAATTTAAAGATCTTGAAGGTATCAGAAGGAAAACTTTGGGGGGAAAAACTCTCTTGATTGATTTTGGTCACCAGCTCTTTGGTATTTTTAGGGAAATGATTTAATTAAAAATATTTGTCATTTCATTATTTTGCCAGGCATGGGCACTATGGAAGAAAATTACAATAAAAGAAGATAGGCAAAGTTCTTCTTGACTTTCTAGTCAAACAAAATCCCATCAGATCACCATTGTTAATATTTTAATATATATTCTTAGAGCCTTTAAATGTTTTTCTTACAGTTTTTTAAAAAAGACGGTCATATATTTTATAATATGCTGTCTACATGTAAAATATTTTGTGGGTATTTTAGCAAAGCAGCAAATTTACAGGTATATCACCACTTTTAATGAGTGCGTAATATGCCATCATAGAGCTGCATCTTAGGTAATTGGATCCTTCTGTTGTTTGATCTTTAGGTTCTTATTCATACATCCCAGGGCACTATCCAGTTACTTCCTTAGGATAAATCCTCACCTGTGGACTTGCTGTGTCCAAGGATATGCATATTGTTGTGATTTTTACTACACACTGACAGATTGCCCTGTAGAAGGGTTGGACCAGCTTGACCCTGCTGTGGCAGAGTGCCCTTTCCTCGTGGCCTCTCTGGTCCCTGGTTTTTATTGTTTTAAAGGCCTGCTGAAGTAACAGCTAGTGGTTCTCCAAAGGCTAGTTGCCCCCAAACATCTCAGCAGTAGGGCCGCATTTGGGCCGACAGCCCAGAGCAGAGGCTGCCACTCTCAGGGGGACTTTCCAAGGCTGCGTGTATTTCTCCTGGGGACTTGTGC